CCCCACAATGAGGGTTTCAGGCTAAGTGGCTCTAAGGAAGGAATCCACTGAAAGCCGAGTTACTGCCTCTAGTAGCCAGAGCAGTACAACTCCCTCTGGGTGAGGCTGCCTGGGATGGGATCTCGGCTTGGTCTACTGGGTCCTCAATGTTCAGAGAGTTACTTCACCTTTCTGTGACTCCGTTGCCTTGTCCATAAACTAAAAGATTATAAAGAATATGGCCCCGAGAACAGTACCTAGTACATGGTGAGCACACAATGGAATGTCAGCTGCCACTGTTGTTACTGCTTTAATCAGGGAACTTAAGACCAAAGCAGATTTCCCCACTGCTTCAGCCCCAAATGGCCCAAAGGCCTGAGCTGGCTAGTGTCTGTTCCTGACCGTGCCATCTCGTCCCACGCCCAGGTTCAAGGACATCACGCGGATCACCTGAAATTGGCCATGAGGGGAAGATGTACATCATAGAAACCAGCAAACACTGCAAATCAGGGCCTCGTCACCACCTCCCACCCCAAAGCTGGGGCACCAGCATACCTTGGCCCAGGCCACCTTTTCCCGACTGTGGTCTCATCCCTTGTGGCATCAGGGTCGTAGGAAAACTCATTTGTGAAATCAGTATATGTGCTCTCTCATCACGTAAAAAGAGGTTTTATTTTCCAGTAAGACACCACCCCCATCAGTACCCTCATGCTCCGCTTTCCTGGGTCCCTGGCGGCCATAAGAACTAACCTGAAGCCTGAAACAGCCCTGGACTGAGCAGTGAAAAGCGAGTCCCCGGACCCCCTCTCCTACCCCAGGGACTCCAAGCACACACTCAGCCCCCTCACTCTGCAAGCACCACCCTCCTCTGCGTGCTGGCCTCAAATCCAGAGGGCCACTCACCTCTGGGATTCTTTAATCAGAAAGAAACTCATTAGAAAAAAACAACATACACAAAAGGAGACAGGGCGACCACCCCTGCCGCACGACCTCGTGTCTCAATGTTGAGGACCCAGGGGAAGGAACTGCCGATTCTTGGAAAATGATTCTCCAAGGGTCACTCATGTTCCTGCACAACCTGTGAGCTAGACTGCCTTAGTTCCAGACTGTCTTTTCTAGGATGTCTTGGGTCGCAGACACAAGAGTCTCTCTCTGGAGCAACAGGCAGGCAGGCTTACCCATCATTGTAAGACTGAGGTTCCCTAGGCTCAGGTGTCCCCTTGTCATGCAGCCCACTGTAAGTGTGGGCACCTCTTCATGGGACCCTAGAGGGAGGGACCCTTGAGGGGGACCTTCATGGGACCCTCAGGGAGTCAGTGTAAATGCTGATTAAAACCGCAGATGCTGATAAAATGCTGATAAAGTGCTCCTGGCTGGTGCTGCATTCACCCGTCTTTTGTCTCTGACCTAGGAGTCTCGTAACTTCCGCCACGTTCCATGAAACCATGACATGCTACCTTATTAGCTGGCAAGGAGGGTAAAATCTGGGACCTTTTGTAGTTTTGACACCCATGTGTTCCCTTAAGGATCCAGAGCTCTAAGAGAAGACCAAATCCAGTTAGCGAGAAGCACTGTCTGCTTACTTCCACACACACAGAAGAAAACCCAATAAGCATCGTGTTGGAGAGCACTTTAATTGTCTACAAATTGATGCAGTTTATTGGCATGATATTTTGAATAATCTTATAGCAACAGTACAATTCTGAGTAATTCTGTAGTAACAATATCTGGAAGAATTTATAGTAACAGTACAATTTTGAATAATTTTTATAAGAAAAGAAGAGATACAGGGGAAAATAATTTCCCTGCATGGTGAACTTTTCACACGCTATACGGAAATTTCCCACATCTGTCCAGTTCCGGCTCAGAATGATAGCTAATATATTTTACTCATTGTATTCTATTCCTTTTAAGACTGACTTCAAATAACCTGGAAATGAGAACTGATTCCTGGCGCGGAGACTACAAAGAACTTGGGTTTCCTGGCAGACAGCATTGCAATGAGTGCGTCTTGCAACAAGGCTGGTGTGAGGTCAAGTCCTGCACACGTGGTTGGTGGCCCCACCTCAGTGGACTCGGCCGAAAGAGGCTCTCACTCGAGCACTGACCACGGAGAAGTGGGAAGTCCTGTTGCCATGTACATACGGGCAATGACCCAGACAGGGTGTAATGCCCTCCCACGGTGAGAGGCGAACACGTCACTCTTTCCCCAGCCGCAGGTGGGAGAACATGAGAGAGAGAAGGGCAGGCCAAACCAGGTCATTGGTTTTCCTAACACCCCCCTGGCAGCTTCTGAATGGTCCTCGCTGCGGGGGAGGGGGGAGGCTGGAGGCTGGCCTTGGGGTCTGCCATCAGACCTTAATACTCCTTGTTTATCTACAGTCCAAGAGCTACCTAGGGAACTCAGGAAGGGCTATCCGCTCTACCTTTTAAAATAAACAAATTCCTCCTGGTCTACCGGGTCCTTGTGTCTCCTTTCTAGGTGCCTATAAATACAACCCCGTTACAATTGTTTGGCTAACAGCTTACAGAATGTCTAAGATACCACGCAGGTGACCGACCCATCTCCCTCGTGGCTTTAGCGCCAGAGCCTGAGAAACGGAACTGGCGCGAGATTCCTACAACTCGCCGCCCCAGTTTCTCGGGCTTCTGGAAAGTCTCTTAATGTTCTTTCCTCAACAGTAGAAAACACCGTATTTGCAGATTATCTGAATCATCTCCATCAAGGCCACTTAAAACGTATCATTTAAAAAATTAATCACAGATTTTTTTAAAAAACTAGTTGCCCAATTTGCAAACAAATCCGTTTCTGACAGTTGCTCTCAGGCAATTTTCTGCACTTTTGCTGGACTCGCAAGTGCAGCAAAGGTGGGTCAGCAAGGCCAGAAACGTTCCTAGGTTGGCGAAGCCAAGTGAAGACGCTCCCCCCTCCCCCCACCAGCCTTGCCAGAGCAGAGCTGGGGACTCCGGGAAGAGAGGGGTTCAGCCCCAGGGTTCACTCCCCTGGCCGCATGCATCCACGGGCTTCTGGAGGCTTGGCCTGTGCCACGGAATCGACGAAAGCCCACAGCCTGGGCTGAAGTGACATCTGGCCGTCTAACAGAATGAACGTAAGAAGAACAGGAGACAACTCTCGGGGCCAATTCTGTGCGTCTTAGAGCAGCTGCTGCCCAGTGAATCAAAACGCGGCCTCGAGTCGGGAGCCGGGCCCACTGACAAGTCTGCGAGTCCCATGTGCCTTGGGCTCCGCCGCCCGCCCTCCGTGGGCCCCCGCTGCCCTGGGGGTGAGGTGATGAGGCGGACGGCAGACGCCGGTGCCATACTCCCAGGCTGGCCCCTGCCCTCCGGCGGGCCCTCCCCACGGACTGAGAGGGCAAATGCCAGCCAGCCTTCTTTTTTATTTTTCTTTTACACCATCTTTTCATTGGAATACCAGGGATACGGACGTCCGGCCTCAGGGGTGTGCGACACTCAGGGCCAACCGTGCTTCCTGAGTGCACAGGTGGTCTTGAACTCCCGCCGGTGCGTGGCCCTCTCACCCCGGGCCGACCTGCCTGATGAGCTGCATCACACCCACGTGCCATCTGACCCACCGGCAGCCGAGCTTTAGTTAAGGTGCCCGTGCCCTGAGCGGCTGGTGTCTGGCCCGCGTGGAGGCAGAGACTCCACACGCACTGACGGAGGCCTGGGAGGTCAGTGCAATGGCCAAGTGCCTCATCTGCGGTTTGGTGAAGCTCTTATCTGTGAGGTATTTTGTGTGTGTGGAAGACTGAAAATGGGGGGAGACGACTAAAAACAAGAAGAAAACCCAGACAAGAGCAGTGTACCTTATACGGGTCTCTTCACACGTCACTGCCTGTGCCCAGAACTGGGTGAGGGAGAGCCGTGCGAGGTGAACATACTCATCTATCCGGAGGCACCCCCTCCTGTGCTGCTTAGAGATCGCTCACTCACACTCACACACACTCACACACACACACACACACACACACACAAACTCTCCCCCGCGGAGAAGGGGGCTAGCTCTCAGCAGGTGGGCAGGATGGCCCAAACCTTGTGGTTAACTAAAGAAGCTAAAACAGGCACGGAGATGTCCGCACGTGGGACCCTGAGGCTTGCCTTTGTGGGAGCGACTCCGGAGTCGCGGACTCTCGAGAGCTCCAGACAGAAACAGTGTAAACAGCTGGGCAAAGGAGGCCTGGGCCTGCACCAGGCCCTTGACCCAAAGCACACTTTGCTGGAACAGGGCAAATCTCCGTCGGGCTCCCAGCTGCCTTCAAGGGAGTGAAGATTGGCAGGGGCACACAAAACACGGTCAGTGTACCAGGAGGAGACCCTGCCTGGCTCACGCATTTCCAAATTTGGCTCTGGTTTAGCAAGCAAATTCTTCCTAAGATAGCACCCACGAGAGCGTCCCTCTTGCCATAATGCAATGAAAATGTGCAGCCATTCAACAGAAGAACTGAGTCTCTGGGGAGGCAGGAAGTCTTAAATAATGCTGTGTGTGTGTGTGTGTGTGTGTGTGTGTGTGTGCGTGCGCGTGCGCACGTGTCTGGACGCAATCTTAAATCATATTGTGTCCGTGTATGCAGTTGGGGGGGGACAGCATCTGGGTGTGGGTATTTTCCCAAGGGACAGGAGAGGGCTGCATGTATCGGCAGCTGAGATCTCTCTTCAGAGGATATTGTGAAACACGCTCCCTGCGACCCTTTCCATCCGAGAGGGGCTGGAGAGCGCCCTCGGTTGCACGGATGCGATCCCCTGTCACATGCCACACGCGGCTGGAGTGTCTTCCTGAGTAATGTGACAGGGCGTGGCGGTGCAGAAAGGCACTTGGAAAATACACATGCCACACAGGTAGGGCTCAGCTCCCTGGTTCAAGGAAAGGCACCCCAGGTGTATATGCAGAAACTTACCTGCCTAACCCCTCTCCCCCCAACCCCGGCTCCACCCCAGGGGCCGCTGGAACTAACAGGCAGATGTCTTGTCATCTCCCACGGGAGGTCTGGGAGCGGCTCCAGCTAGAAGCGGTGCTGGTGAAGAGAGGCAGACGAGGGGCTTTGCTCCAGTCTCTTGACATGGCAGGAGTGACAGAACAGGTGGTCCTCCAGGGGGTAGCAGCGGTGACCGTCTTCATCATTGAGCTCCAGACCGCAGTCCTGGGGGGGAGGCAAAAAGGCCCAGCGGTAGCAGAACAACACAGAGAGGACTGCAAGGCTGACCCAAAGGCCGACGTCCCGGGGACCAGCAGAGCGGGCTGTGCGGGCAGCGAATGCCGGCGCGGAACTGGGCAGTCCTGGCGAGTGAAAGCGTGACACGCCCCCAACGTGCACTTGAACCGGGGCTGGTCAGAATGGAAATGGGACGTCGGTGGATACCTACACTGTACCTCCAAGACTTAGGGCAAAAAACGAATGTAAGACCGTTCATGAGAAATCCCTCATACTGGTTACACATATTGAAAGAACACTGGATATACGGGTTGAATAAAATATTAAAAGAATGAATCCCATCTGTTTCGCTTTATTTTTTTTTTAATGTGACTACTAGAGAACAAAATGACACCCATGACTTGGACCCATGGCTCTCGGGTTTCTATGGGACAGCACTGGCCTGAATGCAGAGCGAGGGCCGTAGTGAGCAGATGGCCCCTCGCTCTCCGGTGCCTGGTGCTAGCAGTGAGCTCCCCACCTCGCCCCCACCCCTCTCCCATTCACCTCACCCACAGCGTCACGAAATAAATCTACTGTCCTTCCGTGGGTGAATCCACTTAATTCTGGCTGAAACCCCACGGACACTTAAAGTGTGTGCAACCTTCATGAGGAGTGGGGAGAGGTGACCCCGGGCCTGCCTGACAGCCATGGGGCACCCGCCCGGGCGTGACACAAGGTAAGGAGGGTGCAGATGGGCCCCCATCCACCTTCACACCACCCATGCCTGTTTCCAAGGAGGGGTGGATTTCTTCATGATTTCCAGGGGTCAGCTCAGAAAGGGGTTCTTGGCAGATAGAACAGCCTACAAGCTGGAGGGGAGGGTGTCTGTTCCGCAGATCACACAGCTGCCTGACGATGTCGCATGTGAAACCTGTGGTCCCCTTGAGCCCCCCACCCTGCGGCCTCAGGGAGCCAACTGCAATGGTTTCAGGACTTGGCAGTTAACCAGCGTGGAGGAAACAGCAATGATCTTTGCGTCCCAAACATGTGCGTGTCCTCCAACCTCCCCTACAAGGCAGGCTTCACCCCTTGACCTGGAGGGCAGCCCTTGACCACACCTTGCTGACCATCTCGGGCCCCAGTCAACCCGGGGATGCTCTTCTCTTGTGCTTTCGGGCGCCTGGGCAGGGAGGGGCCTACCTCGCAGTGGTAGCACTCCACATGGTAGTCTCTGTCCATGGACACGACACGGATGGTCTCATCTGAGCCCTGGACGGAATGAAAGGAAGAACAAGAGGCCAGCTGGGGGACCCAACTTTTAACTGATGAGACAGGAAGGAGGAGGGACAGCAGTTCTACCTCCTGGAATGTCAGAGTCAACACTGAAAAAAACCACCTACGTGGAGAGTGATTTTTCTTTAAAAAATAAATGAAAGGCAAGATTTCTGCTCGTCTTCTAATCTGGGAGTCACTATCAAGTCAGGGAGTTTGACCTGATTATAGGGACGAATAGGGCACATGAAGGTCAATGGGCTGGGGAAGCCAGCCAAGAAGAAAGGGGCTTCTTGGTGAGGACACTATTAAGGTCAGAGGTGAGATTTCAGAAGGATTTTTTCAAAGGCATAAGGACAAGACACAGATCTTGTAGATGATCCCAGGGAGATATTCGTGTCATGGAAGATGCCAGGAACAGGCCTGAAAAAGCTTCTTACCTCAGGTGGAAGGATGGGAAGCCCACAGGCTGCACACTTGGGGGCCAGCACCCTGCCGGGAGAAGCAAAGAGGCAATAAAATGCGTATTGTGCTGTTTCTAGGAGGCAGGTCCTAGAGCCCACACTGAGCCTTCCTCATGGCTGGCCTCCCGCCCATCCCTCTTCAAGTGAACCCCCCACCCCGCCCCCAGCCCTTGAATCAAGACAGCCTGGCTTGGGGCACCTGGGTGGTTCAGTCAGTGAAGCACCTGCCTGTGGCTCAGGTCGTGATCTTGGGGTCCCGGGATTGACCCCCGCATGGGGCTCCCGGCTCAGTGGGGAGTCTGCTTCTCCCTCTCCCACTCCCCTTGCTTGCATGCGCACACACTCTCGCTCCCTCTCTCAAATAAATAAAATCTTTATTAAAAAAAAAAAGACACTCTGGCTCATTCTCTGGGAGGTGTTTTAGTAGCACTTCGAGATTATTCCCCGGTGGTAACAAGCCTAGCTGGACCCTCCCACTCTACTAGGGATAGAGACTAACCTGTTCACTCCCCTCATGGTGCCCAGCACAGGCCCAGGCAGACCGAGGGTGGTGGCGACCAGCCCGGAGTCGTGGCCTTGTGGAGTTTGGTCAAGCTGGAGCCACTGGGCCTGGCAGAGGCCTCCCAAGGCCTAACCGGGATCTGATTATAGGGATTTGGGTTCTGATCTTTCAGGAAACATGATTCTGTTACCAGTTCCTATCTGAACTGGCGTCAGCTGACCTCCCAAGGCCCCTGCTACACCCTTTAAACCACGAAGCCTTTGCCGGACTGTGGACTCAGGGTTCAAGCAGAGCCCGCGGGTGCACCTCAGCAGGTGTCTCTCCTTCGCTCGGCGAGATCAGTGTGGCTCGGCCCCGCGGCCCCTCGGCACCCCACCCCTCCTTACTTGTGGTAATCTCGGACACAGTAGATCTTGTTCTCGGAGTCCACGGTGAAGGGCACCCCGTCCAAACACTCGTTGCAGACGACACAGCGGAAGCAGCCGGGGTGGTAGGACTTCCCGAGGGCCTGCAGGATCTGGAGGCAGAAAGGAAGAGGCTGGGACTCAGCGGGGATTATGCGGACAGGCTGGACAGTGGAAAGGAGAGGAACACGTCAAGCCGAGGGTCCCTATGCGATCACATCGCACGGCGCACGCTCGTCAGAGTTTCGCTTGGACCAAGGTCAAGAGAAGACAGGGTGGGAAAGGCGAATCAAGGTAAATGTATCAACAGGAGGGAGCCAAACAGGAGCCTTCTCCTGGACATAACCCTCCTGAGGAGAATCTGGAGGGCTCTTTTGCAGTTCTTTGCAGGAAATGATGTGAAGCAGGCAGGGCCACGCCAGGCTCCGTCCCAGATTTAGGAAGCAGCCGGTCCATGGAAGGATTAAAGTTAATTCCACATGGAAATGGCAGAGCTCAGAAAACCTCTTAAGTTCTGCCTCCCAGGTGCCTCCTCCTAAGCAGCTTTCACTCCGAGGCATGATAATCCAGAAGCTATGACTCAACCGCTGATCATTCCCAATCCAAGCACAAGCAAAGCTGATCATTCCCAATCCAAGCACAAGCAAAGCTTCTTTGTTGCTGTTGTTGGTTTTTTTTTTTAAGATTTATTTATTTGAGAGAAAGAGAGAAAGACCGCACGCACCAGCACAGGGGGAGGGGCAGAGGGAGAGAATCCCCAGGCGCCTCCCTGCCAAGCACAGAGCCCGACGTGGGGCTTGATCCCAGGACCCCAGGATCGTGACCTGAGCAGAAATCGAGAGTAGGACGCTCAACCAACTGTCACTCAGGCGCCCCTATTGCTATTGTTTTAAAACACAAAGTAGAGGAAGTCCCACAAACCTTCTTCCTCTTAGTGTCATTTGATCTCGTTGTGATGCCTGGAGAGGCAAGAAGCCGTCCTGGAACCAGGACAGAGCCCACACATGCAGGGCAGGAGAGAGAAGACGTGCGAAAAATGTCCTTGGTGACGTCAGCGAGTGACCAAATTACCTCCCTGCAGAACTGCCTACCTCCAACCCCCTTGCTAGGTGACATCAAACCGTTTTCCTATTAAGTCAGTGCATCTCAAAGTGTGGTCCCTGGAGCCACAGGACCAGCATCACCTGGCAGCTTGTTAAAAAATCTACATTCTCAGGGCCCATCCCGGATCTCCAGAATCAGAAGCGCTAGGGTCAAGCCCAGCGGTTGGTGTTTTCAAAATATGATTCCAACGCATGCTAAAATCGAAGAACCACTGGTTTGAGTTTGTGCCGGTGTGTGTGACACCTGCAGGAAAGGTGTGGGCCTGCCAGTGCCCAAGGCCTGCTTCCCCCCAAGGCCAACGCCACACCTCACATGCTGCAGCCACAGAGATAAGCTGGAGGCTTCGTGCGCTCTCCCTTCTTCCTCTGAAGGCTCAGCTCTCTAGCTTCCTCGTTCCCTCTGGTGTGTCACTAACCTTTGAGGCCCCTCTCGACCTGCAGGAAGCTGCCAGAATAGGACAAACAACAGGATGGGCTTCCAAAGTCCACTTGGCAACGGGGATCTCGGAATGCATTTTGCTCCCCGGCTAACACTGTCTTCGCGGAAAAGACCCTTAAATGAACTTTACCCACAATGTGCCTAAAATGTGGCAGGACACAGATGCCTTTTGCTGGATGCTGACTCGCTGTGATAATTCTTTTTAATGTGGGGGAAATGCCCAGTTTCAACCTGCAGGCTCAGAGCGTTCCCCTCTACTAACCAGGGAGGCCGGGGGGACAAGGACAATTTATACAAAGAACTGGACGACCGGTTGCTTCTCTTGAAGAACCAAGAATGGTGTCGGAAGGAATCTTTTCTGGCATTATAAAAATTCTTGGCAGCAGTTAAGGGTTCTGTCTTTTAAAAAGTGGGTGTCACTACCAGACAGACATTTGCTAAAACTTTTCAAGTCCTAGAGAAGACCTGCAAGGACCCAGGTTCAACTTGGCATTATCCTCGTGGGGCAGAGATGGTCTCCAAAGCTTCATTCCTTCCCTTCCTGCTTGCAAGGCTGGTCCTCACTTCAAGAAGTGGAGGAGAGTAGCCCCCCTCACCACCCCACTGTGTACTGAGAGCAGCCTTATGATGTTCTGTGAGCAACAGAATGAGGAAGAAATGATGTGGAGAGATTTCGGACTTAAGAAGCCTGGCAGCTTCCCTCCCTCCTCTGCTGTAGGAGGTCCAAGCTAGACAAATGAATGAGATCAGCGGCCACAGGGGAGAGGCCATCTTGGGCACTCAACTGGGACACCAGCTGAACACCACTACATAAGTGACCCCAGGCAATGCCACACGGAGCAGAAGAACCATCCCTCTGAGCCCTGACTAACGGAGTTCTATGAATCACAATAAGTAAGTCACTGCTGTTTTAAACTACTACGTCTTGGGGGTGGTGTATCAGGCAGAAAGAGGTAACTGAAACACCCTGAGGCCCTAAGAAGGCTTAGGATACCTGGAAATAAAATATAGTGTATAATCATGTTCATATATTTGGACACCGTTGACCTCATATGCAGTGGGTTTGTCAGAAGGACTCTAAAATCGAGGACCAATTCCGCCCAAGAATCGGATGCCTGTGGAGTCTGGCTGGCGTCTGTGGAAGGTAGGGGTGAGGGTGTGTGGCTCCTGCCTGCCTCGCCTGTGGGAATGGAGGGAGGGCCATGCTCCCAGGGAGGTCTTGGCTACAACGAGGACCTGGCCCTCTCAGGGCTCAGCTCCGCTGTGGTGTGTCCGAGCCTGGGCAACAGCAGATTCTCCTCATGAACAGGGCAGGCTCTGGTTCACTGCTGTTTTATACATGTTAGCACAAAGCCAGCAGAAATGAGTGTTTCTGCCCAGCAACATGCTGAAGATATTCACAACAGCTTTATTCCTAAACAGCCTCAAACTGGAAACCACCCAAATCCCCAACAGCAGAGCAACAAATATACAAGCTGCTATATCCATACAATGGAATTCTACCTAGTAATGAAAATAAACGAACTGCTGACACAGGCAACAACATGGATGAACCTCAAGAACATTTTCTAGGGGCACCTGGGTGGCTCAGTCGGTTAAGCATCCAACTCTTGATCTCAGCTCAGGTCATGATCTCAGGGTCGTGAGATCGAGACCCACATCGCTGGGCATGGAGCCTGCTTAAGATTCTCTCTCTCCCTCTCCCACTGCCCCTGCCCCCCCAAAACAACAACAAAGGGGCACCTGGGTGGCTCAGTCGGTTAAGCGTCTGCCTTCGGCTCAGGTCATGATCCCAGGGTCCTGGGATTAAACCCCGCATCAGGCTTCCTGCTCAGCGGGGAGCCTGCTTCTCCCTCTTCCTCTGCCACTCCCCCTGCTTGTGTTTGCCCTCTCTCTTTCTCTCTCTCTCTACCAAATATATAAAATATTTAAACAACAACAACAACAAACAGTTTCTAAGTGAGAAAAGGCAGACCCAAAGGACTCTATACTGTATAATTCCATTTATATGAAGTTCCAGGACCAGCAAAATGAATCTGGGGCAACAGAGCTCAGAATAGAGGGTACCTTTGGAGGAGGGTTTCTGGACTGGGAGGAAGACAAGAAGGAAGTTTCTGGGGTGTGGGATGTGGGAAACATCCACACTTTGACCTGGGTGGGGTTACACAGGTATGTGCATATGCAAAATTTCATTCACCTGTACACTTAAGATGTACACCCTTTACTGTAGGAGTTGTTGCTCAATAAGAGACGTAAAAGAAGAAAAAAAATAGCAATGATTAGCAATTCCCTTCTCCAGAATGGAATTAATGGGTCAGCTCAGAGAGGGTTTTACCTCTTTCCAACTAAAAGAATATTTATAATAATTTTCTTTAACCACTATATTAAAGAACTTCTTAAGGCCTGATCTCCAATGGTGAACAGTTTGATCCCTGAGACAGACTAAGTATTCTGCATTTGTTAACCTCACAACCTCACCCTGTCAGGAGGCCAGGAAAGAGAAACTGTCCCCACTGAAGAGATAAAGATACTGAGGCCTAAGACAAGCTCAGAGAGCCAGTGGCTGAGTGAGGAACAGAATGTATAAAACTTGCTTCTTGTTCTGCTGTCTCAGAACTAATGACAGGCCCCCAAAACTCATCTTAGGAACAGATAGAGCCAGGCAGAACATGAGGCACAAACAACTGTGTTTATCCAACTTTCTGTACCCAAATTCAAGGGAGATGAAGCTTGGCATGTAGCATCTCACCCGGGACACCACAAGGATCACAGAAAATCAGAGGGAGGCTGGTGTGATCCAAACAGCCCAGAGAAAAGAGCATCATCAGAAACACAACACTGTGTGGACTACATGATTAAGGATGCTAATACCAGTAAAAGCCAACAACATGGCTTCGTGTAGAGCAAGCAGCTGCCTTACACAGGTCTTCTCTTAATAAAACCAGATGCAACCACAAATCAAGGTAGGAAACACAGTTTTCAACTGTTAGTTTCTTTTTTCTGTGAATGCCTCCCCCTCCCACCGTGCCATCATCTTGTTCCACTGACCCTACTCACCATGTCCATGATCAGATGTCCACAAAGAAAACACCTGTCAGCAGACTGCTGGAACCCAGAGTACTGCAGAGGAAGCAGAAAAGAAAGTTAAAGCCAGGCAGGACAGATGAGCCAGCATCCACTTGCTCACCAGTCACGAGGATGACAAGGAACTTCTCAGAAAGATGTGTCACTCTATACAGGAATCTGTCATTTCCCAGAGGACAACAACAGTTGTGTGATGAATCATGGCATATCTTCTGCCACACAGCCATTACAGATACCAATCCCACTCACCCTAACAACAGCTGCATCTGGGCATCCGCAACATGCCAGGCTCTGTGTAAGAGGCTGTACATAGAGAGGCTTTAATCTCTAAGCCAGTGGTTCTCAAAGAGGAGTTCCCTGACATCACCTGGGAACTCGTAAGAAATGCAAATTCTTGGGCTCCACCCCAACCTACTGAATTAGAAACTCTGGGAGGGGACCTGGTAACACATGTGTCTTCACAAGTCCATCAGGGGAGTCTGATGCAAGTTGTATTCCTTAAAACAATTCTTTTTTTTTTTTTTTTAAGATTTTATTTTATTTTATTTTTTGAGAGAGAGAGAGAGCGAGCACGAGTGGGGGGAGGAGCAGAGGGAGAGGGACAAGCAGACTCCTGCTGAGCAAGGAACCCGATGGAAGGGCTTGATCCCAGGACCCTGGGATCATGACCTGAGCCAAAGGCAGATGCTTAACCGACTGAGCCACCCAGGCACCCCTCCTTAAAACAATTCTTAAAACGAGGTATATATCATACCATTTCTCAGATGAAAACAAGGGAAACTCAGAGAGGATTAAATGACTTTCACAAGGTCACACCGCCTATAAGGGGTAAGGACAGGATTCAAATTTAAGTCTGGTTCTGCCAAAAAAGCCAATGGCTTTAGTTTCAGAGAAACTTGGTAAATATTCTCTATCTTACCTTACCAAAACACACACGCACACACGCACACACACAGGCACAGCTGGAGTCTTGAAAGAAATGGGAAACACTTTTCAGGAACGCACACACAGAAAAGATACCACATGCTGGAAGATACTAGAAGTTTAGATATTACAAACACACATTATAGGGGGGGAACATGTAATGGAAAGGAAGTTTGGAAAAAAAGAAAAAGGGAACTTTCTGCAACCTCAAGGGTGACAGTTCTTTATTTTCAGGGTGAGCCAGCCGCACCCCCACACCTCAACCTCCCATGAGCCTGTGGAGCCGACCGCCTGCTGGGAGCCAAGGCGGGGCACGGGCTCAGACCTGGCCAATCAGAGCCCCACATTCCTCCAGCACCAAAGATTTTGCCCACAGGTGGGCATGTGACCCAACAGAGCCAACGAGACTGGAGGGGCAGGACAGGCTCTGTGGCTCATGGGCATGGAAGGCGGGAGGATGCGAACCCTGGAGCGCTGCCGCCCTGTGGCCACCAGGCAGTGCCTGAGAAGCGAGCTAACGCTGCCGAGGCAGGGCCCCAAACTGAAGACAAAACGACCCCGAGGCCACTGCTGAATGCGTTTCCTTTTTGCTTCCGCCAGTTTGGGTGTGCCTGTCTGGTACTGGCCAGCCCAGGTCACAGTGCATCAACCTCAAGCCATCTCCGGGTCCCCCGGCGACGCAGGCACAGGTCATCTACCATTTACGGGGCGCCACTCCATGCGGGGCACTGGGTTAGGGTCTGACGAGGTCAAGGCGAAGAAGCAGGTTCTCTCCTCCCTAGGCACTTACAGTCAGGTGAGGGAGAAAGGTTCGTGGGTGCCACCCTGCTGGCTGCTTCCTGCTCGGCCAGGGAAGCCCAGGTGTGGCGGCCCCACAGAGGAGGGGCGCTCACTGCCGGGGAGGGGGACAAGGCCGTCAGGTATCCGGGCAAAGAAAGGGAAGACACCCCAGCCATGAGGCTCAAAGGCTTGAGGCTGTGCAGGGGTGATAGCAAGCAGCAGAGCCGGAGAGGTGCAAGGCAGGCTCTGGAACACAGCTTCTGTGCATGCTCTGAACCCTAGAGTCGTGGGGCCTGGGTGAGGGGGGTTGACACACGGGTAGCGGGGGAGCCAAGCTGGCCCAGGAAGGCCGTGGTGGCACAAGGATCAATGCTCAGCCACATTCTGGGAGCGGTGGGAAGGAGGAGGGGTCCACAGTTCTCAGGTGACATGAGGCTTCTGCTTCAGACAAGCGGCCTGTGAAGGGCTGGGGGACAGCCCAGGGCCCCGTCCAGTGGCCAGTGAGATGTCAGCAGCTGGCCTGAGGGGTGCGAACAGGGCTGGAGCTCGGGCCTGGGAGTCACTGGTACGCAGATGGACTCTGGAAGCACGACAGAGGCTGGATGCCCACGGAGAGCCGCCGGGGTTTGAAGGAACGAAGGCCTGAACCCCAGTCCCGAGGTTGAAGAGGGAGGCGGGGTAGGCAGAAGCGGGCAGAACACAAGAGGACAGGCCGAGTGGCCCTCAAGTCCCTTCCAAGCACAAAGCTCTGCGGTTTGTCATTTGCTTCGGGAACAAGGGCCACCCGGTGCATCTACAGAAGGAAAGTGCGGACCCCCTTCTCTGGCCGCACTCGGCTCCCCGCCAGCACCGGGGATCACGGAGAGAAGCCACACTCTTCGGCCCCATAGGCCCCTGCCCCTGACTCTGGTCAGGACCGCGGGCAGGGGCGGTTTGGGTAAGAAACTCACCAGGAAGTCTTCCTCACAAAACACTTTGCCGTTGACAAAATAAAAGGCTTTTCCTCTCAGCTTCCGGCCTAAGGAAAAAACACAAAGGCAGGGTGAAAAGAAGATGCTGTAGGCAGTGAAAAAAGGAGAAAAGGCAGGCAAAGTGTGTGTAAACAGAAACAAACATGCTAAAAAGGCCAACTGTCACTAGGGGTGTGTGATTACGGAAAGCTGCTGGTGGCGCCTGGCGATGGGCAGGCGGAGGCCGGGAGGCCGGGCCCCTGGCGGGCGCTGTGTGGCCCAGAACGTCAGTGCGGCCTTGGGACTCATCCTACGTCCACTTCTCCCGCTTCCTCTCCTCTGAGAAAGAAGCCAGCGAGCCATCTGGTGAGGGGATGGCAGAGGCACCTCGGGGGGGTACAGGGCAACGGTCTGTTGGGAAGCTGTTTCCCACAGGTGTTTGGGACGTTACCTTTGACCTGTTCTCCAGGGGACACTGGTGACAGTCTATCAGGAAAGTCCTATAAATTGGTCTTTATTTTTCTTATTTTCGTGTCTCTTTTCATCTTGACTATATAGAAACTACACGCTGTTGGACGGATAATGATTTTTTTTGTTTTCTCCTGATCTAAATGGGGTGAGGAAGGGTGGGGAAAAATTCAAAGCACCCCGGCTGCTTAGGTGTAACTTCAGTTTCCATAAAGCTAGGACACTGACAAGAACAGCAGATTTTATCAATGCCCTTGATCCCTTATGAAAAAATACAGAGGGTCGCATGATCAAGGTTAAGCAGGAGCATCTTTGTAGGAGACCCTGGGTCCGTGACCCCACAGCATTCCCAGATCTGAGAACGCTTCTAGCACCAGGCACAACACATACGCAATGGACCGTGGAAGTTTCCAAAACTGAATGTATTCTGAACTCTAGTGGAATCACTAGACCTTTGGCGCCAGGGTCCACGACATGAAACCAAACTCACCAATGTCACAAACACTAACGGTGCTCGAGACAGAGAAACCCCCTTGATAAACACGGAGTGCCTCGCCCGGGACCCCCCTCCCCCCCAGAGCAGCCAAAGAGCCCAAGGCGACAAGAGAAAAGCCTGGTGACACAGACCTGTTGGAGCTTAGAGAGGGCCTGGAAAGTATCGAGGCAGAGGAAAAGCCACAAAAAAAAGGGAAAGAAGTTTAACTACAAAAGCAAAAAGCTCCAGACGGATTAAAGACCTCCGTGTGAAAAACAAAAGTTATCCTAAGAAAATGCGAGCAGGTGTCTTTGACTTGGGCATGGCAAAGGATTTCTCTGGTGAGATATAAAAGGCACACCTTATAAAGGTAAAGACTGATCGATAGGACACCAAAACTCCAAACTTCTGCTCAACCTAAAACAACATATACAAAGTTCAAAAGACAAAGCTGTTGAAAAGCCAATCTGCTCTGAGCAGGGAGACAGAAGGAGCAGGTCAGGGGCTGGCAGACTGGAGGCCGTATGGAGAGAACACGGAGAGGGAGTAGGCAGAAGCACGGAAGGACGATGGCTCTGGGGCTGACCGTTCACAGTCCTGCCCCTGCACCCCCTCCCCAGGAAGGCCCTGCCCTTCTCCTGGCCAGCCCAGACCGTTCTTGGTGAACTGCTTGTTGCTGCGAGACCCACAGCTGTCTCTGTGTCTCCCCAACCCTCTGATCGGTTCCTACAGAACTTTTTAATACTCTGAATATATACTGCACTCCTTGAGGATAGAATGTGACCTCACCTCCATCTCCTAGGAGGTGGGCTCGCCAGTGGTCTAACTGAAGAAATAAAGGGAAAGGCTGACCAGGGACCAGAAGATGGCTACAATACATATAACAAGGCAGTAGCATCTAAAACATAAAGAACACCAACCACCCATCCGACAAAGATAAAGTGAGCAAAGGATAAGAAGCTGAGAACGCAGGGCTCCTGGGTGGCTCAGTTGGTTAAGTGACTGCCTTTGGCTCAGGTCATGATCCTGGAGTCCTGGGATCGAGTCCCACATCGGGCTCCCTGCTCAGCAGGGAGTCTGCTTCTCCCTCTGACTCTACCCCCTCTTGGGCTCTCTCCCTCACTCTCTCCCTCTCTCAAATAAATAAATAAAATCTTAAAAAAAAAAAAAAGAAGCTGAGAATGAAAAGAGAAAATCTGTTAAACTCTAGGCAGTAACCACTTTAAAAGATGTTCAACCCCACCAGCAATCAGGACATGCAAATTAAAACCACAAGGAGATGCTATCTCATTCCCGGGTGAGCTAAAATCACTAAGCCTGACAGTAGCGTGTCTTGGTGAAGGTGTGGGACAGAGGAAGTCTTTCCCACTGCTGGTGGGAGTGTCAATTGGCATGAGCACCCTGGGAAGAATTTGGCAAGAGCCCAGAGAGCTGAAAATCCACATGACCCACCAAGTACTCCTACAGATGCCCTTTGAGAGAGGATCTCCTAATGTGCAGAAGGAGAAGCATGTACAAAGTGTTCACTGCAGCATTGCAAAGAAAACCTAGATACCCAGAAGCATCTTCAGTGCTCTTCAATATAGAAAAATTGATAAATACATTGAGGAAGAATTTGGAGTCATAATCAATGGATGCAATACTACACAGCAGTCAAAATGCATGAACTAGATTTGTATATATCATTATGAATTGAACTGAACACACTGCTGTGCAAATAAGGAAAATTGCTCAATGATATATATGAGTTATGTGTAGTATCTATATAAGTTAAAGCATGAACGAACACATATGCACACACAAACTAGTACTGTATGTTGTTTATGATACTTGTATATGTGATAACACAAGAAAAACGGACTGGAAGGATCCATATGCTTGATCCACGACAGCAGCGGTCCTGGGGAAGGGGGAAATGGAATATGGGAAGGGGAACCAGGACGATTCCAATTTACCTGTAATATTCTACTTCCTTTATCAGAAATAAGTCAAAAGGACAACATATAAATGTCCGTGGATTCTGGGTGGCAGGTAAACAAAGGTTATTTCCTACTGTACTTTGCTGTAGTTTGAAACTATACACAAAAACACACACACATTCTACAGGTGAAATACTATAAACCAAAGGCAAACGCCAAACCAGAGAAAACATCCGCACTACAGGACAAAAAACAACTTAACCTACCCCAATATGCAAATAACTCAATTAACAGTCCGATATAGAAAAATAGGCAAAAAGGGGCGCCTGGGGGGCTCAGTCAGTTAAGTGTCTATCTCGGGCTCAGGTCAAGATCCCAGGGTCCTGGGACTGAGCCCCGCATCGAGCCCCATGTCCAGCTCCCTGCTCAGTGGGTAGTCCGCTTGTCCCTCTCCTTCTGCCTCTCCTTCCCCCTGCTCGTGCTCACTCTCTCTTTCAAATAAATAAATAAAATCTTTTAAAAAAAAAAAGGAAAATAGGCAAAGAATGGGGAAAACAAAACAAATGATAAAGTATGAATGAGCAACAAATATAAAAGAAAATTTTTAACTTCTCTCATGATTAAAAAAACTGCAAATTAAAATAATATACCATCCTCTGTCAGACTGGCAAAGGTTAAAAATACCCCTGAGTGCTAGTAATCACACTGAAGATACTCTTCACTCTGTGAGGGATAGCAGAAATTGGAACAAACTTATAAGAGAAAATTTGGTATCAAATATCAATGGGATTTAGAAAATTCAGATTATTTTGACTCAAAAATTCTACCACAAGAATTAATCCTAAGGAAATAATCAGAGTTGGACTTACTTAAAGGATCTTCATCTCAACATTATTTAACACAGCTGAGGGGCACCTGGGTGGCTCAGTTGATTAAGCATCAAACTCTTGAATTCGGCTCAGGTCACGATCTCAGGGTCATGAGATCGAGCCCCACATCAGGCTCCACACTCAACGGGGAGTCTGCTTGAGATTCTCTCTCTCCCTCTCCCTCTGACCCTCCCGTTACTTGTGTGTGCACACTCTCTCTAAATAAAATCTTCAAAAAACATTAAAAAAATTAAAAAATAAAATAGCTTTAAAATGAGCATTAAGCAAATATCTAATTCCTATTCATTATAGCATTTATACTATTATGAGGCCATTTAAAAAGACTGTTTTCAAAAACAGACTTGATGACACAGAGAGATATTTAAAATACTTTAAAAGGTGGTATTAAAAGCATGTTTGTGTGTGTGTAACAGACACGGAAAAACATGCTCACACACCTATATGATCACAAAATTATGTGTATGTTCATACACACTAAATGTATACCAAGTGTTAATAGTCATTATCTCTGAGTATAGAAAATGGGTGATTTTTAGTTTTTTTTCTTCCTGCAATGACTATATATTATTTCCATAGCCTGAAACAAATTATAATAGGGTGAGGGAGTGTGGAAAGAGCAATGGGGCATATGCTAGAAGGCTGCAATCCAAGTCTTTAGCTCTCCAAACCCTCTCTCTTGTCCTTCCCTCAAAGTTAGTTACACTCACTTCTGGAAGGTTCTAGAACCTTCGCAAGCATTTCCTGACTCTGGGAAACTAGGGTAACAAGAAGGAGCACTTATAACTAAATGATTTCAGGGTCCACTAGCAGAACCCGCCTTTACAGCCATGGAAGTTCATTTATAATTCTCTCACTTAGTTGGAACTTTCCCCTCTATAAAAATATTCAAGAGGACTCACAAAGGAAAATGAGAACTAACTAGAATAGCCTCTCGCCACTTTTTGTCCCCATCAGGAACCTGGGTGGGAGCCTCCAGTCCCTCCCTGGGCAGCCCCGGTGACAGGAAGGACACAAATAGCCCACCACGAGGGAAAACGATGCCCACACTGTCTGACCACAAGGAAAACCCAAGTGCAGTCTGGGAGTGGGGCTGCCCTGTTTTGCTGCTCCCAGTTCCGAGAGGAAAGGAGGCGAGGCTGCAGGTCCCGCAGTGGCCACTGGAGAGAGCGAGGGGGCCGTCTGGAAACAGCATAGGACTTCCTAGACAGAGATGAGGCTTCTGAGCCAATGCAGAGAACACCGGGCTCTGGTTCCAGGAATGGGGTCCGGGAAGTTCTAAGGAATCTGAGCTGGGAATTAACTTCCTGTTTTAATAG